TGCTCCCTCGCTCTGTCGCTCCTTCCTCGCTCTCTCCCCATCCCTCGCTCCCTCTTTGTCCCTCGCTCCCTTCCTGTCCCTCGCTCCCTCCCTGTACCTCGCTCCCTCGCTCCATCCCCGTCCATCGCTCCCTCCCCGTCACTCGCTGCCTCCCTGTACCTCGCTCCCTCCCTCTTCGTTCCTCCCTGTCTCTTGCTCCCTTCCTCGCTCCCTGTCCCCATCCCTCTCCCTCGCTTCCTCCCTCTCCCTCACTCCCTCCCCCATCCCTCGCTCTCTCGCTCCCGACCCATCCCTCGTTCCCTCCCCGTCTGTCACTCACTCGCTCACCCCTCACTCCCTCCTCACACCCCCTCGCTCCCTCGCTGCTTCCCCACCCCTCGCTCCCTCTTTGCTCCCCCTCACTTCCTTGCTCTCTCCCCGTGCATTGTTCCCTCACTCTGCTCCTTGCTCCCTCGCTCTGCTCCACGCTCCTTTGTTCTCTTCTCGTTTCCTCGCTCCCGTCCCTCGCTCCCTCGCTGTCCCTCGCTCCCTCCCTGTCCCTCACTCCCTTCCTGTCCCTCGCTCCCTTCCTCTTCCTCCCTCCCTGTCTCTCGCTCCCTTCCTCTACCTCGCACCCTGTCCCTCTCCCCCTACCTCTCCCTCCCTGTCCCCCTCCCTCTCCCACGATACCTCCATCTTCCTCGCTCCCTCCCCATCACTCTGTCCCTCGGTCCCTCCCCGTCCCTCGCTCCCTCCCCTTCCCTCGTTCCCTCCCACCCTCCCCACTCCATCCTTCTTCACAGATTTCGAAACAGTTAAATTCAGTACGTGGTGCGTCTGGTTGTTTCATCCCAACAGGTGAAATACACATTCATTTAAAAATAAAGACATAAATTGCCAGAAAAACTCCACAGATCTGGCAGCATCTTTGGGCAGTGAATCAGGATTAACATTTCAGAACTTCTTCAGAACTGTTTCTCCCACCGGTACTGCCAAACCTGTTGAGTTTCTCCAGCAGTTTCTGTTTTTGTTTCAGATTCCCAACATCCGCAGCTCTTTACATTAGCCATTATAACAACATCGAAACGCCTTTGTCATTACTCACTGGATAAGATTTCCATTTGGGGAGCATTACCCTGACTGTATTAAAAACCCAGAACTGTATCACACAAATGGAACAAGTAGAGTGAGAACAGCGCTTGTTCCTGCCTTCGTGGACTCAAACTACCAACCTCACGCTTACAAGCTGCAAGTGCTGACCAATTGCACCACAGAAGCTCGCGAGCTGGTGATTTGCACAATCCCTTAAAGCTGGCTCTTACTTAATTGCTCTGAACAAAAGAGCAAGGAAGGAGCCCCTTCAGGTCGCTATACAGAGGATACAGCCTCTCCCACTGAAAGCATGGACTGTTCTTAGCCCCTGCCCAGAGCTCTCTTTCTTCCCATTGAGGTCAGAGTCTTCCACACGTCCTGAGTGGATGACACGTTCCCATCCCTGATGAACATGAGTGAATTAGTTGGTGATTTAATGACAAGACAGTAGCTTTTATGGTCACTATTCCCCTGTGCCAGCCCCATAAATTACCAGATCATTCACCTTGATTTCAAAAACTGCCTTTCTTTTTGTGTGTCATCTTATGCTCCTTTTCTTTTGTTTCTGGTCAATGCCACATTGTTTTGGAATTTGAGAGTGTGCAGTCAAGAGACAGGATCTGGCAGAATTGCTTCATTTTAACATAAGCTGAATATCATCAGATTTTGAAAATGGAAGGTGGATGCACCATTCACAGTGAAGAGAAGCTGTGCACAGGTTCTGTGTGGACAAAGCTTCAGGCGATCAAGTGACCTTTTTTTAAACTAAAGCAATGCCACACTGACAAGAAACTGTGGATCTGTGGGCACTGGGAGAGGAGTTTCAATTACCCATCCAAGCTGCAAACACATCGGTGCGATCACACCAGGAAGAAACTGTTCATCTGCTTCGTGTGTGAGAAGGCATTCACAGCGGTTTCACACTGGAAAGGGGCTGTTTCCCTGCTGTGAGTGTGGCAAGGAATTCATTCAGTCATCCCACCTGCTGACACACCAATGGGTCCACACTGGGGAGAGACCATTCACCTGCTCCAGGTGTAGGAAGGATTTCTCCCGGTCATCCAGGCTGTTGAAACACCATCAGGTTCACTCTGAGAGCTGAAGTGAGATCCTTTAAATGTGCACATTGTGGGAAGTGCTATGAAAGCTCAAATGGACTGATGTGTCATCAACGTGATCACACTGAAGAGAGACTGTTCAGGTATGCTCACTGTGGGGTTGGGTTCAGGACATCATCAACCCCCAGTCTACATCAGCAAATACACACTGGGGAGAGGCCTTTCACCTGCTCGGAGTGTGGGAAACAAAAAATCACCCAATCATTTAGCTTGATGAAACATCTGCCTGTTCACAAGTAACTGCAGTAATTGATTTTTGTTTAGTTTGTTCATGGGTACATGGCATCAAGAGCTCAGTAAGCATTTATCATCCATTCTAACTGCCCAGAGGATGGTTAAGAATCAAGCTCGTTGTTCTCGTTTGGATTCACATGTAGGCCAGACCAGGTCAGAATCAACAATGGTTCTCAGACCCAATGGTACAAAGAGTTGATTTTCTGGTCTCTTACCCTGTTTCTGAAATGATAATGAATAAACTGTTACAGTTGATTTATAAGTGAAAGACCAAAATGGGTTTTATTCCGATTGAGCATGTCCTGCTGATTTCACAGTTGTTATTGACGATCTGATGGCCCTCACACCATAACCTGTTCCAGAAAGTGTTACAGAATTTAGGGAATTGGCAGCTGCCTCTGGTTATTCAAAGGGTTACTGGACCTGAAAGGTTAACTCTGATTTCTCTCCATAGATGCTGCCAGACTTGCTGAATTTTTCCAGCAATTTCTGTTTTTCTTTCTGATTTCCTAGAATCTGCAGTTTTTTAGGCTTTTCAATATTCATCTTGTCTGTTTCAGAGGAGTCTCATTGATAGGCTTGGTGGCTTTTGGAAATTGAAAGTTAGGCCACAGATCAGGCAATAAATAACAGATTTGATTTAAAAGAACAGGCTTGATCAGGATGAATGGCCTACTCCTGCTCCTATGAAGTTTTTCATCTGCAGCTTTTGGCAATATTTCCCCTCACTATTCACTTCACATCCATGACTATTACACTACATGCTACACTGGCTAAACAAATCTCCTGTGTTTGAACTAAATCTGTTAATATTCAGTGCTCCCATCTCCTGTTGCCTGGGTTTGAGTTTCATCAGAGAATGGTGTCTCTTCTTACTGTGTGAACAGTCAGAACAGACAGATCCTGGAGTCTCATTCCCCTAAGATCCACAAAACCTGTTTGTTTTTTTCTCTTCCGCTTTCATTCTGACTCTTTAATTTCTTAGTTTCAGTCCGCTCTCCTCTCAAGCTCTTCAACAACCCCGTTTGGGCAGACTAGAGGCAGCTGGAATTAATGCAGGGAAATGGGAAGGGGGCAGAAGCATAAGGAGAGGCCACATCAAAGAAAGCTCCCGTTCTAACAACAGAGCTTCTCCATGACCCAGCGAGTGGTGAGGGGTCTGAGAATGTGAGGGAGGCAGATTCAGTTGCGGATTTGTGAAGATAAGTCAGTGACACCTCCATCTGATTGATAACTCAGATAGACAGAAAGAAAGATGCACACTTAGATAATGCCTTTGATGACCTCCAGGCAATGAAAAATGCTTCAGATTCAAATAATAGAAACCGAAAGAACTGCGGAAGCTGTATATCAGATACAAAAACAGAAAGTGCTGGAAAAGCTCAGCAGCTCTGGCACCGTCTGTGGAGAGAAATCAAGTTAATGTTTTGGGTCGAGTCACTTATCCTCAGAACTGGTTCCCATTTGTTGTTTAAGATCCAATGATTTCATTTCACAGAGACAAAGCTTCCAATTTGTATCAGGTTAACTCTCAGCCTCCCGTTTTCTTGAGAAAAAAGTGGTAAGCTGTTCAGTCTTTTCTGGCAATTATTGATCTCAGATTTGTGACTGAACCTTTGTTTTCCTGATCCTTGTAAGTGACGCCAGCAGTAGAAACAGTTCTTAATCTGCAAGGGATTTTGTTTGGAAAATTTGTATTTACAAATTCATTCTCATCCCCAAATTTACTCTGCAAACAAAAGAGTTCTGAGTATGACCCCACAAAAACACAAAGGCACCATGAAGACCTGAGCCGAATGAATCTAATTATGTTTGGGCTGACATGAGGAAAATGTGACCATGATCACAACTGGTTAAAATCACCGAATACCTGCAGTGTAGAAAGAGGTCTTTCAGCCCATCGAGTCTGCACTGACCGTCTATCCCATCCTACTCCTATTACCCGCCATTTACCATGACTAACCCAACCACCTAACCTGCGTCCAATCCACCTAACTTGCACATTTTTGGACTTGGGAGGATCACAGCTTAGCTCTAAAGACGCGAAATTGTGGGTTATGGCTCAAAAAAAAACCCTCGACTCTGAAACAATTTCACTGTTTTTGTTTCAAAAATAAAATCTGGGGAAAGCTGCAGCCACAAAGATATCAGATTCTCTCCAGAGGAACAGAATTCAAAACTCGCGCCACCGACTCGACTTCTCAGACTTTAAATAGAATATAGGTGGACACTAGATTGGAAGGTTCTCCTGAATTACATCTGAAATGAGTTATTCCAGTTCATTTCTCATCCTGAACAATATATTCATTACTTTTTTTCAAAGTCGGAGACATAAATCTGCAGGGTTATTAGGATAGAACAAGGACTGACACTTGTTCTATACAGAGCCAGCATGACCTTAGAGGGAGCCAGCATGACCTCAGAGGGCCGAATAGCCTCCGTCTCCGTTCTGCCACAGTGAATCTATGATCTAAAGAGAACAGGGTCAGCTGCTCCAGTCTCTCCAACCAACTGAAGGCCAGAATCCCTAATGACATACGCCTAATTCCCGTCTCAGATATCTCATGGAACTTAACGTCATTCTGCAAAGTCCTGGCCCATACTGGGGGTCCTTTCTACAGCTACAGAGCTGAAAAGGAGGAAAACGAAGTTTCAGTGATTTCGTAGCAAAGTTTGACTCCACTGAGCACTGTCAACATTTGTCATCTCCATTTAGAGAAAGGAAACAAAAGCACTGGAAAAAAGTATTACATGGATTCACAAAGGTATTGTCAAAACTGAGAACATATAACCCTCAGGAATGGCTGAGGAGCTTTTCTCTAGAAAAGAGAAGGCTGAAGGGTGACCTGATGGAAGTCTTTGAAATGATGAAGGGCTTCAATAATCCAAAAGGGATTTCATGAGAAACCTCTTTACCCAGTGACAGATGCAAATCAAAACTTAATTTCCACAGCGAATGGTTGAGGTGAACAGCAGCAATATATTTCAGGAGAAGTTGGATACATACACGAGGAAGAAAGGTACAACAGGATCTGCTGATGGGGGAGATGAAGAGGGAAGGGTGCGGTCTCACTTGGAGCATAAATATTGACACAGACCAATTGATGTGACTGGCCTGGCACTGGACTACACTGTCGATGGAATAAAGACAAACATATTTATTTTTGATCTAATTGGAGTAGTAAGGAAAACGTTACTTACTATTCAGGATAAAGTAAATGTACTTCAACAGGTTTTAGGGGTAGTTTCAGTGTAAATGTGCAATCCCAGGCTCAAAGAACATCAGCATCTCTGGAAGCAAAGTGGTGAGAGCGGCCAGTCCAGCAGACGGAAACCTTCCGACCCTCCCACTTCACCCACTGTCCAAATGAATACAGCTCTGGCCTGGATGTGATTTCCATCATTTTTAAAATCAATTCATTATGTACAGGTATCAATGTCTAGGTCAGCATTTATTACCCATCCCAGTCCTCCTCCTTGAGAAAGTGACGGTGAGTTGCTTTCTGGGACTTGCAGTCCTTGTGGTGTAGGATCACCCACAATGCTGTTCGGGGAGAGCTCCAGGATTTTGACTCATTGACAGTGAAGGAACAACCAATATGGAGGAGCATGATATTCAAATCCCAGTAATTTCAGTGACTCCATTAGAGCTTCATGTGAAGGTCATTTTGAGACTTCTGTCTGCAAATCTTCCTTTCTAATATCCTGTTAACGAGAATGATGTGTGATATGGAGGGGAGCATGCAGGTGGTAATGTTCCCATGTAACTGCTGCACTAGTTATTTTAGGTGGTGGACGTTGTGGGTTTGAAACGTGCTGTCTAGCAGCTCAAATATTGCAGATTAACTGCAGATCCAAGTCCTACGATCATTTGTGAACGTTCTTATTCTTCCACAGATGGATAACTGAGTGAATGTGGGAAAGGATTCAGAACAGATGAAGGGCTTCTCTCCAGTAATGAACCTAGTGGTGTTTCTGCAGCGTAGATGAATCTCTGAACCGCTTCCCACACTTGGAACATTTGAATAGCCTCACCCGTGTAGGATTCGCTGACGTCTCAGCAGGCTTAATGACTGAGTGAATTCTTTTCCACAATCAAAGCATATAAATGGCCTCTTCCCAGTGTGAACTTGCTGGTGTGCACGAAGGTTGGATAACTGAGTGAATACTTTCCCGAACTCCGAACACGTAGATGGCCTCTTCCCTGCGTGAACTTGCTGATGTCTCAACAGGGTGAAATATTCATGGTATTCCTTCCTACACAATGAACAGGTGAATGGCCACTCTTCAGTGGCAGCATGCTGGTGTTTCTGCAGGGCAGGTGAATCAGGGAATCCATTCCCATACTCAGAACAAGTGAACGACCTCTCCCTGCTGTGACTGTGTTGATGAAACTCCAGCATCGACAAGGAATGAAATGCTTTCCCACAGTCCTCACATTTCCATGGTTTCTCCATGTTATGTGCGGCTTTGAGTCCCTGTAAGTTTTATAATCAGCTGAATCCTTGTCCACCCAGAAACACAGGTATGGTCTCTTCCTACTGTGAACGGTGCGATGTTTCTTTAGGCTGAGAGATTGGATGAAGGTATATCAGTTCACTAGAAAACTCTCACTTGAGTGTGCATGTCTAAGTACTTTTCCAGACAAACTGATGTTTCAAATATTTTGAAGCAGCCAGGACAGATATGCTGGATCTATGGTTTCTAGCCAATGATATTCAAGTACCAGCTATTTTAGTGACGTCACGTGATGGTCGATTTGAGCTTGCTGTGTAAATCTTCCCTTTTTAACTTAACGTAAAAAGATTTATAAAATTTCATCACTATTAGATTAGAAATTCGGTGAAAAATTCAAAACAGCCAAATCTAAGTGATCATCATTTCTTTTCCTGGACACCCTCCCTGGGTTCACTTCATTCCCTGTCAGTTGCTGCAAGTAAATAATTTCACATCAGAACTTAAAAAAAGAAATTGGGAAAAATTGCTTCCTCACAGATGATGGACAGCGGAGGAAGTTTCAGTCTGGGTGAAGCTCAATCTTCATTCACAGAAGAACAGCAGCAACTTTGCTGGATTGTCCCGCGTTCGCGATCAGACAACAGGAGAGGTGATTGGCTGGAGATCAAGCTTGCTTCCGGTCCTCCAGCTCTTTCGATTGGTCATATTACGGAATTAGACAGAATTGCAAAGGAACACGGATTCGCGTGGGGAAGCAGCTGCCATGACCCCATGACGGTTGAAAACTTCTGCCAATAGATAAAGAGGGTGTTGTGATCACAAACCAATCATGTAACGAGAGATGTTCCCGCCCCAAATGTAACCGTGAACACGTGCGAATCCCAGTGTCCCACCCAAGTGGAACCTGCCACATGGCCCGCGTCGACAGAGATTGTGGGAGTTGTAGTCCCCATGAAGCCACTGGAACCCTGTCTCTTGAAGGTAAATGAAAAGAGTGGGGCAGAGGGTGGTTGGAACTGGATCCCCATCCAGACACACAGAACATGTGGGCCGTCACTAATTTTACTGAGACACCCTGCTTAGCCAAAATGTTTTTTGATATCAGTCATAAAGACTTAGAGTAGAAGCAAATTACTGCAGATGCTAAAATCCGTACTGAAAACAAAGTGCTGGAGATCACAGCAGGTCAGTCAGCATCCATTGAGCGAAAGCAAACCAATGGATCAGTCTAGGTAACTCTTCAACATAGCTGGATTTCTGATGAAGGGTCTAGGCCCGAAACGTCAGCTTTACTGCTCCTCTGATGCTGCTTGGCCTGCTGTGTTCATCCAGCTCTACACCTTGTTATCTCTGTGGAGGAGTGGGTTGGCTGCAGTTCGAGGGGTTGGTGTGCTGAGGGAGAAAGGATGTTGATAGTTCAGATCAAGTCCCAGAGGGAACAATCTCTTCTGGACTTAATGTTGAGTTCAACACCATCAAATCGTGAAGCCATTCCTTCCCTTTCTTTCAGCTTTGCTTGATACAGTTTCTGCCACCCATTCTTCCCTCCACCCCCGTGGGGGACTGTCTGTTCTTTCCAGTTTGGCAGTTAGGTACTCCATCGCTCCACATTCTCACACTCTGATCACTTAATCTGACCTATCAAAATTTTCAAATAATCATTTTCCACAGTCAGAGCATTTCTCCCTCTGCAGTCAAAGGCTCATGATTTTTCCAAGCCCAAAAGAGCCATTCTCTTGGATATTGATTTGTTGTTTATTTCAAGTCTGTACATTACTTCCATCGCATACCTGTTAAAAGAAATGACAATGTGAGGATCACAAGCAGCAAGCCACAGAAATGAACAAATGACAATTGGAGTTTTTTTTTGGTGAAACATTCTTTCCTCCTGTTTCCCCAAATATGCGAACAAAATCAAACTAATCGAAGCCAAAATCAGCAAATGGTTCCCAGAAAGCTCCGTCTCCAAGGTTACCCATGTGCAGACATGGCCAGGGAAGAGAGGCTGAGAGGCGGTGATCACCTCCTCCTTGGGCTCACACGTTCTGATCTACAATTTACTGTTTGAACCAGGACCAAGAGTGGATCCAGGTGACAATCCTCTGACTTACCCAGCTTCCTTTCTCCACACTTTATACCCTTCTAGACGCAGCGGAGTTCAATGATTGCAGCAATGAAACACTGTCCCCATTTTGTTCCTTTTCCTTTGCTTGTTTCATTTGTTTCTTTAAGTCAGCAGCACATCTGCTCCTAGGATATCTTTTCTAAGGGACTAACGTTCACTCGAGGCCTATTCAACACTTAATATTCCCCAGATCTGATGAAAGCTTACAGACCTGAAACAGTCACTCTGTTTCTCTCTCTCTCTCTCTCTGCACACTTGCTTCCTGGTGTACTAAGTGGTTTCCAGCAACATCTGTCTTTGAATATTTAGATTTGGGAACAAGTAACTCAATACTGAAGTTTGCAGTTGATAACAAGCTGTGCATCTAAACTGAGGAAAAATGTAACATGACAAAAGACAACATTGCAAAACTCACACTCGGCAGTTAAATGACAAATGATTCAAACAGTGATAATAGATCAGTGTGCACTTTCATGGGAGGATTACAACCATCACCCACTTCTTGCAGCAGAAACAATTACCAACAAATTTATGATAATCTGACATCATAGACACCTACGCTCTCGATTGTCTGCTCCAATCAGAATGCCAAATTTATGCTCTTTCTTGTCCATTCACAGGATGTGCGGGATGTTATTGCCCATCCCTTATTGCTGACAGGGACAGTTAAGAGTGGGTCTGAAGTCATATGTAGCCCAAACCACGTAAGAACAGCAGATTTCCTTTCATGAATCTGATGGGTTTTACACAATTTCAAATTTCACCACCTGCGGAGGTGGAAATTGAACTCATGATCCCAGAACACTAACCTGGGGCTTTGGATAATGAGCACAGTGACATTATCACTATGCTGCAACCTCCCCCAAATGATCTGGCTAAGGACTGGGCACTGTTATTTTTAAAGTTGCCTGTGTGTAAGATTCAGGAGACTTGCAATGTGCATTAGCCACAGGCTTCAACAGTTTCAAACAAACAGCAATAGACTTTACATCGTACGTAATCTTGGATAAAGGAATTATTAAAGCTAAATAACTAAAGGAAGTCTTTTTAGATGTAATACATGATTTCATGACAGTAAGAATCTTGATTTAATTCCAATTTTTCCAGAAGCTATGTATCAGGGCCACAATGTACTAACAATAAAAGATAACTCTGCCAGTGACCGTAGCAATACAATTGGATACGAGGGAGTAACAGGAAAAATGTCAATAAACTCTCAGTTCAATTACACATATATTTAAAATATTACAATGTTCATTAATTCAGTAGAAAAAAAGATTGAATTTAAACTTACATAGGTTTATATCAGATATATTTGTACAAAGTGTTTTATGATAAGGACTAATCTAGAACATCCTTACAAAAATCAATTGTTAGAATTTGGTTAAGTAAAATAGCTACAAACAATGGATTTTACAGGCATACAGATATACAGCACAGAAACAGACCCTTCAGTCCAACTCATCCATGCCGACCAGTTATCCTAAATAAACCTAGTCCCATTTGCCAGCATTTGGACAATATCCCTCTGAACATTTCCTGTTCCTTTATCCATTCAGATGCCTTTTAAATGTTGTATTTGTACCAGCCTCCACCACTTCCTCTGGCAGTTCATTCCATACACGCACCACCCTCTGCATGAAAAGGTTGCACCTTAGGTCCCCTTTAAATCTTTCCCCTCTCACCTTAAACCTATGCCCTCTAGTTTTGGACTCCCCCGACCCGGGGAAAAGACTTTGTCTATTTACCCTATCCATGCCCCACATGATTTTATCAACCTCTAAGGTCACCGCTCAGTCTCCGACACTCCAGGGAAAATAGCCCCAGCCGTTTCAGATTCTCGCTATAGCTAAACCCTCCAACCTTAGCAGCATCCTTGTAAACCTTTTCTGAACCCTTTCAAGTTTCACAACAGGGGGACCAGAATTAGCATGCAGTGTTCCAAAAGTGACCTAACCAACGTGCTGTACAGATTCAAAATGACCTCCCAACTCATATATTCAATGCACTGACCAATAAAGGCAAGTATACTAAATGCCTTCTACACTATCCTATCTACCTGCAACTCCGCTTTCAAGGAAATATGAACCTGCAGTCCAAGGTCTGTTTGCTCAGCAACACTCCCCAGGAACTTACCATTAAGTGTAAAAGTCCTGCTCTGATTTGCCTTTCCAAACTGCAGCACCTCACATTTATGTGAATTAAACCCCATCTGCCATTCCTCAGTCCATTGGTCCATCTGATCAACGTCTCATTGTACTCTGAAGTAACCCTCTTCACTGTTCACTACACCTCCAATTTTGGTGTCATCTGCAAACTTACTAACCTTACCTCCTAGGTCCACATCCAAATCATTTAAGTAACCATAATAATAATAATCTTTAGCAATGAATTTAATTGAGATTTATGTTCAAAACCAAAATAAGGGAAGGGATTCAACTGTTTAATGTTCATTATCAGGGATAATTATGCACAAAAATAAAGACCAATTAAGCTAAATTAAATAGTTTGCCAGCCAAAGCATGACAAAATTCTGTTAGGACATGGAAAGGGGAGGTCTTGAACTTTTGTTGAAGGAGAAAAGTCTCTGCTGCTTCCCTCCCTTCCACCTGAACATTGACCAAACTGCCCCTAACATTTCCATTTGCCCAAGCCCTCGGTTTCCCTCTTATCTCCTCTCATTCTTCCTCAAATCTCACCATGTACATGAGACCCAACGTCTGCTCCATCAACACTGATCTCACTAAATTGCTGATCATCAAACTCTTCATGTGTACTGATAGTATCAATAGTTGCCTCTCTTCAAGTTCTGTCACTCTTCCCTTCAAAATCTGCCATTAATCACCAGAGGACAACTGTGAAATGTCTTCCCAT